GTTTTTAGTTATAGCTATGTTAGGGGATATCTGTGTGCAGAGTGACTATTACTGTACATAATTATTAGGCAACAACAAAAACAAATATATACCCATTTCAATTTATTTATTATTACCAGTGAAACCAATATAACATCTCAACATTCACAAATATACATTTCTGACATTCAAAAACAAATCAGTGACCAATATAGCCACCTTTCTTTGCAAGGACACTCAAAAGCCTGCCATCCATAGATTCTGTCAGTGTTTTGATCTGTTCACCATCAACATTGCGTGCAGCAGCAACCACAGCCTCCCAGACACTGTTCAGAGAGGTGTACTGTTTTCCCTCCTTGTAAATCTCACATTTGATGATAGACCACAGGTTCTCAATGGGGTTCAGATCAGGTGAACAAGGAGGCCATGTCATTAGATTTTCTTATTTTATACCCTTTCTTGCCAGCCACGCTGTGGAGTACTGGGCAGCGGCGTGTGATGGGCATTATCCTGCATGAAAATCATGTTTTTCTTGAAGGATGCAGACTTCTTCCTGTACCACTGCTTGAAGAAGGTGTCTTCCAGGAACTGGCAGTAGGACTGGGAGTTGAGCTTGACTCCATCCTCAACCCGAAAAGGCCCCACAAGCTCATCTTTGATGATAGCAGCCCAAACCAGTACTCCACCTCCACCTTGCTGGCGTCTGAGTCGGACTGGAGCTCTCTGCCCTTTACCAATCCAGCCACGGGCCCATCCATCTGGCCCATCAAGACTCACTCTCATTTCATCAGTCCATAAAACCTTAGAAAAATCAGTCTTGAGATATTTCTTGGCCCAGTCTTGACGTTTCAGCTTGTGTGTCTTGTTCAGTGGTGGTCGTCTTTCAGCCTTTCTTACCTTGGCCATGTCTCTGAGTATTGCACACCTTGTGCTTTTGGGCACTCCAGTGATGTTGCAGCTCTGAAATATGGCCAAACTGGTGGCAAGTGGCATCGTGGCAGCTGCACGCTTGACTTTTCTCAGTTCATGGGCAGTTATTTTGCGCCTTGGTTTTTCCACACGCTTCTTGCGACCCTGTTGACTATTTTGAATGAAACGCTTGATTGTTCGATGATCACGCTTCAGAAGCTTTGCAATTTTAAGAGTGCTGCATCCCTCTGCAAGATATCTCACTATTTTTGACTTTTCTGAGCCTGTCAAGTCCTTCTTTTGACCCATTTTGCCAAAGGAAAGGAAGTTGCCTTATAATTATGCACACCTGATATAGGGTGTTGATGTCATTAGACCACACCCCTTCTCATTACAGAGATGCACATCACCTAATATGCTTAATTGGTAGTAGGCTTTCGAGCCTATACAGCTTGGAGTAAGACAACATGCATAAAGAGGATGATGTGGTCAAAATACTCATTTGCCTAATAATTCTGCACTCCCTGTACTCCCCTGAGTATAAGCTCTTGTAAGAGCTTGTTCCTGGTTCCTGCTCTCTGGATATAGGAGAGGTCTACCCACTGGAAGCTGGATCCTGGCTTATGTAAACATAAGGTGACTCTTTACAGGAAGTGTTTAGGAAGGCTGTTTAAGTCACATGCAGGGAGGTGTGCATGGTGCTCCATAAACAAAGTGATTTAACTCCTAAATGGCAGATAACTGAACAGAGAGAGTGCAGGGAGATGATCGATACACAAAAACTGCTTAATTGAGCTAAAGTTGTTTTGGTGACTATAGTGTCACTTTAATTATAGCTTGATGAGTTCATACGTTCTCTATGATCCCTAGTATTATAAGTAGAATACCTATCATACAATATAAACCAAAGAAACGTTACTTGTACATTATCCTAAATCCCAATGCACATTTAAATAACTGCTATTTTTTAGTATCACTCCAGTGGCCACCACATGCCACGTAAGGGAAACTTTTTAAGTGAGCCCTACTGTGATGGTGGCCTGATCCCCCAATTTGTTCTATGCAAGCCATAAACTTGCAGCACCATTTTAGTGTCACCTCATGGTGTTTTGTCAGGCTAAGAGAACGGACGCTATGAGATACAGTTTGCAATGTACATAGTCATGTATGTATTGTGTGCAACTGTATTATACACAGAGCAGTGTGTGTCTGTATTGGCAGCTGTTGGTCAAAAGAGGGGGAGGGACACCAGCTCTCTATGCAGACATTAAGAATTGTCAGGTGCTGTGTTACATTGCTTGAGTGAAATGTATTTTGTAGGTTAATACGGTAAAGTCTGTACTGACAGTAACAACCTGATATTGGAAACAAACAAGTGTAATGCATGATGTTGGACCGAGTGCTTTGCCCAGCTCAGTAAATGTTTATGAAATGTTTTTTTACTGTATGCTGAGATCAATCAATAAGGAAGGAGAGAAAGGTGGCGCCACAGAGATAATATATAAAATATATAAGCAAGTAGTAATATAGAAATAAACAATGACATAATACAGAGAGAGAACAATACAAATAATAGGTATATATATAAAGATAGAGGTTTTACTATTTTAATAAAAGCAGGGCTTGTGTCCTGCAGGAACGCATGGGAACGGCGTTCCTGCACTTTTTTTTACAGCAGGAACACCGTTCCTACTGTTCTTGCAGGCACTCAGGGGTGGCATTTTTTTCCCCGTCATGGTGGGGCCCAAGAGGTGGTCTAATGGCCACCTGATGGACCCCACCTGGCAGGCGCCTGTCTCCCTGTCAGACTCGGTAAGGGAGCTGTGTTCTCTCTGCTCCTTCTTGCCGTGCACAGTTTGCTGATGGCGGGAGCCGGAATATGACGTCACAGCTCCCTCGCCGAGTATGACTGGGACACCGGCGCCCGCCCCACTGGACCCCAGGGACAGGTCCACGCCAGCTCTTCAGGTAGGGAGGCTGGGTGGACATTTTTTAATAAAAAAATTATAATCTGTGTGTCTGTGAGTGAGTAGGACCATATAGACCTCTTTTAGCATCTGCTACCAATTTGGGTTTTATTGCACTATTAGATTTTCTTTTTTCTTTCATACGGATCCAACGAACCCCTCAATCCCACTACTCCATAGATGTCTCAGACCTCAGATAGAACTGTGATTGTTCTCTCATCCAAAGGTTTTACTGGACTTTTTGGACTGTGTATATGTGTATATATATACCTATTATTATTTTTATTGTGCTCTCCCTGTATTATGGCATTGTTTATTTCTATATTCCTACTTGCTTATATTTCATTTTATATATTATCTCTGTGGCACCACCTTTCTCTCCTTCCTTATACCTATAGGGCCTGTGAGGGAGCCCTATCCTTTAGGTGTGCTGCCTTTATTTAGGTTTTTAAGCGCTGATCCTTCTGTACACGTTTCACGTTGAGATCAATCTATGTAAATTGGATGTTTCTACAATATACTGTCTGAATTATTTGAGTTGCCAAGAAGAAGCTTGTTTGTCTCTTCCTTAAGGTCTCACGGGTATATTGCTATTCATTGTCCTCTATAGAGAAATTACTAATAAGAGTATTGCCAGAGGATGAGATAGATAGAATATACTATAGTAACCAGATACCAGTGCAGTATATCCTGCATTACCAGTGGATACGCTACCAAGGCTGAGTCCTAGCATTTAGTGGAGCAGTTAATGGTGCAGGTTAGATAAAAGAAACCCACAGACGATAGTGTGACTGAACTGGTACACCTACAGTGCCAGAGACGCCAGGGCGGTATCGTCACACCTACACTAACAATTCCCCTTGCTTCTTTCAGCTTCAGCTGAAAATCTCTGAGACAGAGAAGGGTATATTTCTAAAAAAACTATATACTTATCAGGGCCGGTGCAAGGATTTTTGGCTACACAGATGCATTTTGCTGCCCCCCCCCCCCTTGAAAAAAATAAATGCGTCTTCATCTGTGTATTGTAACCCCCCTTTTGATTTTCTTACCCTCTTTAGTGTATTTTATCCTCCTTTTCCTATGTCTTACACCCTCGTGTGTCTCTTATAACCCCCCTTGTATATCTTTCTTTCCCCAGCCCCTTTGTGTGTGTCCCCCCATTCTTTTTGCCTGTCTTTTTCTCCCCCCCAGTCCTTTTCTGTGGCTCTCTCCCCTCAGCACATTTTTCCATGCGATATAGACGCGCTATATATATATATATATAGAGAGCAACACACAACCATACAGGCACTCAGTCACAGAGATATACAGACACACAATCAAACAAATACAGGCGCACAGCCATACAATCTACACTACAGGTATAACGTCATACTGTGACGAGACCAATCTCGCCACTGTGCATTGGAGGAGCCTGGTTGCCTGTCTGCTGTCTTTAGACTATGGCCCCATCTTGAAACGCTTGATTTTCCCCTGCAAAGACACGAAAGCCGGGTAATTCGGTGCTTGCCCGGTTTGAGCGGTGATACCCCAGATAGCTATGCCATGGAGCCCATTCGTATAATGAAAGATTTGGCTCCATGGCAATTGAACTGTATGTGTGTGATCTGAACACCATTCAGTAATAATGTGCGCTCAGATCTGAGCTATCTGGGGATATGTTGAATGTACCTGTTTTATGCAATGGCTGCACAGTTATATGTTTTTATGTATTTATTGTCTTTTGCTGCCATGTGTTCAATGGAGTTTTGCCTCTGTCCTTGGAGATAATTGGATTACTTCCCAATTATCTCTAGGATAGAAGACTATGTGGAACTGGTTTTGGGCAAAAAAGCCATGCTTCATTTGGTCACAAAGGACTACGATCTATCTTTTGAACCACTGGACCAATTTGTATGATTTTGATGTATGTTTGTATTTGGAGTATGCTGATTCTGAAAATGTAAGTTTTGTGTGAATTATGAATAATGTGGAAAAACTGTATTTCTCGGCCTGTGATAATTACATTACCCATTGTGTAAGGTAATTGTATCACAGGCAGAGGGGAGGATTTTGTGTGGGAGTGTCTGAGTGTATTGTACGTGTTTATTGGTTGTTTTTCAAAACCCCGTGGGTGGTACTAATGTGTAAGAATGTGTATATAAGAACACGTTCTTGGGGGGGGGGGGATTTATTGTATGTTGTTCCAGTACGACTGCTAGGAGTGTAAACCTATTCATATGGTTTTTCCTATTCGGCTGTTTACGGCATTCAATGGTTTCCTGTTCGGCGGATTGGTGTCTTTGGTAGCTGCCTGAATATCTCCTAAACGGCTTTTAACCCCTTTTATGCCTGGGGTGCCGTTACACATACAAACACAGACATACAGACACACACACACAGACATTCAGACACGGTCATACAGACACAGGCATACAAAGACATACATACACAGGCTTATAGTCACACAGATATAGGCATGCAGAGCAGGGGCAGATACAGAGCCTAATTTCAGGAAGGACACTGGTAGTGGGTTGCAGTGGCTGTAATTGAAAAGTTAGGGGATGTAGTAGGGACCTAGGGGCTATAGTGGGGGGTACGGGCTGTAATTGGGTAGTTACAAAATGTAGTGGGGGAAGTAGGTTGATGGCTACAATTGGGGGACAGGGGCTATCGTGGGGATGTTATGGGGTTATGATGGTGGGGGGGCATGGGGCTGAGGAGACAGGGGCAAAGGAGGGGGGATAGGTGTTGAGTAAGGGGACAGGGGCTGAGGAAGGGGGACAGGGGCTGAGGAAGAGAGACAGGGGCTGAGGAGGTGGATAAAAAAACAAAACTAAAATGTATTCCCCCTCTCCCAGAGGCTTAGCTTGGGCCAGGGAGGGGTGGGACAGGATCTGCAGCCAGTGAAGTCGGCCGGCCTCTCCTGATGATGTCGGGGGTAGGGGGCGTAACTTCCTCTGCTCTTCTTCCAGGGGTCCTGGGAGAAGCGCAGTGGAAGTCACGACCCCTCCTCCTGACATCATCAGGAGAGACCGGCCTACTCCACTGACTGCAGGGAGAGACAGATAAGTTGAACAATCAGAGTCCCCAGCAAGAGGAAGGGGATTCGGATTTTTTCCCCCCTGCTCTGGTGCCCTAAGGTGGCCGCTTGTGCCCTGATACTTATGAATCCTTAATGGGGAACACATGGGGTGGGTGGCAACACTTTAACATATGTCATACACACACAGTTCAGTAGTATAGTACAGTTAAAAAAAATATTCTAGCTCCCGTCTCCCCGAAATGTTTAAATAAAGAGGTTCACTTACCTTTATTTCCCCTGGATCTACCCACAGGGATTGGGGGATATTATATGGCATATAAAGACATTGTGTGTGGTAAACAGGCATGGTATTTATTTTTTTATTATTAACTCGCAAAAATAAAATGCTTCCATTAATAAATCAAATATTATTAATTATACCTTGATGAGTTCACACACTCCCTTGTGGCAGATTATGATACCCAGTACTACAAGCAGAACCCTGATCAGGCTATCAACAACTCTTCCCTCTAGAATTTCAGGTCCTTGGAGAGAGCTGTCATTTATAGGAATGCTATAGAGCTACTAATTAGCCATCAGTTGCTACAACTTCCACATAAATAGTAATATAATCCCCTTTTATATTTCTTCCTTCCTATTAATGGTTCTGGTTAAGGTCCTACATTTCATGAGCAGCTGATTCGCCCTTTATTCTTGGAAAATCAACATCAGTAGAAAGATTCCTTTCTTGCATACCACGTCATTACAGATATAAAACAGAAAAAGCATGCCCTGACTTACCCTTTGTCTTTTATCTATTTTTCTTAGCAGACAACATCCCCCTGTTCTCTTTATTACTCATTAAAAATGCAGATGAAATTGATGATCTACTGAGTTTGTGACATTTGTAATTTGTAAATGTTGTATGAACTTAAATAAAAACTTACAAATATAAGAATATGAACTTTAATTTGACCTAAAATACAATTTAATTTTTCATATGAAAAAGTGTTCAGTTTAAAACCTTTATATCTTACCAGTGTGTGTTTAATTTAGAAGTTCTTCCTCCCTGCTCTGTTAAACGCCTCCAAGTGCAAAACAGCCACCTGTGTGTTATTAGTTACAATTTTATAAAAAACTAACAAAAATGTACAAGAAATTTTTTTTTTTTAATTTGAAATAAGGTTATTGAAACCTAATTCAGCACATTGTATTGTATTCATATAATTTGTAAAATAAAAAAAATGGTTTTCCCACAACTAGGTGGTATATTTATTCCTCATGTTTGGTTCCTCTACCAGAGGCCTGGGAGTCTGAGAGTGCACATTATCTTAGCTGTTCCAAGAACTGTACTCTTCCGGAACGCAATCTCAGATGTCCCACCTGGAATCTGTTGAAGCCACTCCCCCAACTTGGGGTTACAGCCCCAAGTGCTCCTTTAACAACTGGGACTACTACTGCCTTCAATTTCCACATTCTTTCTAGTTCTTCATTCAGTCCTTGGTATTTGTCCATCATCCTTAAATCCATGCGATTCGTTGGCATTGTCCACACTTTCCACGGAATAAATGTCTCTATGGGATTCATCAATCACATCCCCAGGCTTGATTTCAGGAAAGGACAAATGATGAGATGTAACATGTTTATTTTACAGCAAAGATAAAGGAGAGATGTAATGAAAGATATAGCAAAGCACAAATAAAAGGAAGAGTCAGTGGACAACAAGAAGAGTGAAGGTGTCATAACACACCTAATATCTCAACGGAAAGAACATCCCTGCTAGAAGCTACTAAAAGGGTACTGGAAAGAGTTATGGTTTTTATTGGTGACCTGTGGCAAAGTACTTGTGATGGGAACAGAACCAATTATAGCTAATGGGCATCCATATTGTACTAGAGGAAAGTTGAGAATTTGAGGTTAATGCCTCCTGGACTGAATGGTCTTGCATTTATTGTGGCAGATATCGTTGGGGCACCAGAAGCTATATTTAGATAGCTATGCCTTTATAATGTATGCATCTGTTGGAGATGTTTGCAATCCGTTACATTTTTGGAATAATTTACTTATTGATAGCATGAGCAACAGAGATAAAATTACAGATTATATAACAGTACAAATTAACATTTTAGATTCCAATCTGGATATTGTACCAGTGATGTATTCCTTTCTATTAAATACTTACCCGGGTAAGAAGCGCATGCACTTCCTTCTCATTGACCATGCGGCGCCTCTCACTTTGTGTCTATTTGATCGACACTCTGTACAATGTCGGTTTCACTGCCACCTGTTCAAAATATTCATTACACAGGGAAGCAATATAGATAGGATGTTGAGTCTGCTGGAAATATCAGAGTTAGGGAACATGAACCAGGAGGTAAAGAACGTCCATTCAAAATTAAAGGACCACTAAAGGCGCCCAGACCACTTCAGTTTAATGAAGTGGTCTGGGTGCCAGGTCCAGCTAGGATTAACCCTTTCTTCTATAAACATAGCAGTTTCAGAAAAACTGCTATGTTTATAATGGGGTTAATCCAGCCTCTAGTGGCTGTCTCATTGACAGCCGCTAGAAGTGCTTCCGCGCTCCTCACTGTGAAAATCACAGCGAGAAGATGCCAGCGTCCATAGGAAAGCATTGAGAATGCTTTCCTATGGACTGGCTAAAGGCGCGTGTGGCTCATGCCGCGCATGTGCATTTAGCCTATGACGACGACAAGGAGGAGAGTCCCCCACCCGGCGCTGGAAAAAGAGGTAAATTTAACCCCTTCCACCCCCTAGAGCCCGGCGGGAAGGGGGCCCTGAGGGTGAGGGCACCCTCAGGGCACTATAGTGCCAGGAAAACTTGTATGTTTTCCTGGCACTATAGTGGTCCTTTAATTATTAGAACATCATATTAGCAGAGCATATATACTGCCTTCCCAAAGAAAAATATTAAATAAAATCTCCAAATAACAGCACAAAGCCCTGCTCATTGTCCCATACTCCAACTTGCAATGCATTATGGGATTTTCATGCCTTCTCTTTCTCATCACTATATCATATGATATCCCTAAGCTGACAGCAAAGAGAGCAAGCAAAAATATATATTAAAGGGATTCTATAGTCATTCAGACCACTGCAGCTCATTGAAGAGGTCTGGGTGCATATTCCCAGGTCCCTTAACCCTGCAAAGGTAATTATTGCAGCTTTTAAGAAACTACCTTTAACCCCTTAAGGACCATGTTTACTCCACCTCTAGTGGCTGTCTTGTAGACAGCCACTAAAGGGACATCCGGGCTGTTAGGCAACTTTTAAATACTTTGTGTCCATTACTTTCTCAAGATCCTGCAAATTCATTTTTTTGATCTTGCCAAACAATAATAATATGTTAAAAATACAAATAAAATTATCTTAAAATATAGTTGTCCATTTCCTGATTAGATTAGGGTTTAGGATTCAGAGAGGTCTCTTACTTGTATCTGTGTGTAAATGGATTTTTACTGTATCAATTTCCTGTGCACATTTCTCATCCTCCTCTCCCTCGACTTCCGATACACTGTCAGGATCTCCATTGTAAGGACCTGTTAACTTCACATCTAAAGAGATATTACAAGGAGAAAGTAAGATATGATCGACTTTTTATAAAATGCATAATATACAGGGTGGTGTCTTTTTTTGCTCTGGAAGCATTACTGCAAACAGATTAATGCAGTAAGGCTGTTGACCTTCCAGGAATACTCTAAACCAGTCCTGCACAACCTGCGGCCCCTTAGATGTATGGAACTACAACTCCCATGATTCCCTGGCTGTCTGTTTCATTCACAGAATAATGAGTGTTGTATTTCAAAACGGAAAACAGGACGGAAGTTTTGTAGGACAGTTCTAAAAACTAAAGCAACTTCATCTTAATGAAGCGGTTTTGGTGTAATTGCATGCCCCTGCCGTGTCTAGTGCTCCTATGGAATTAAGTCACTTTGTTTTGCCCACGTCATACTTTCCCTGGTTGTGGCTCATACAGCATCCATGAAAAAAATTACAGCATAGTATGTTTACTCTAGAAGTCATTGTCTCCTGTTTTTTTAATTGAACTTCAATCACACATGGGAGGCTGCTGAAGGCTCTAGTAGGCAGTTTAAAGAGCAGGAGATAAGAAATTCTAAATTAAACACACTGTCCAATAAGGGAAGTTAAAAAAAAGAATGAATCTCTTCTTCAGGAAATGTGTAGGGTGGCTATAAAAATCAGAGACAGTGGAGGTGCGCATAAACAAAGTGATGAACTCTTAATTTTCCCTTAGTGGAGACAAATATGAAGTTTTATCAGGAACCAGGTCGAGACTGAGAACTCAGCTAATCGTGGTCCTCCCAATACTTTAAATAAGAGCTTAGTGTAAATCTCATGTACTCCGGCTGAATGGACCTTGTGTGCTCATCTAAAGTTCCATGGGCCAAATATGCATTGGATAAAAATAAGCATTGCTTAGAAACTTGGAAGGTGCACGCGTGTAGATGAAACATTTCTAAGAAGAGATCTAATGTAGAATTATTTATGTTAAGATCCAGTCTGTTTCGCTACAAAGTGAATATTGAAGAATACTTACAACAACTTAATAAAAACTCTAAACAGTGTTACCTTTCATTAGTACTTTCTGTTGGACAATTCTCTATCATGAGATCTTTGTAAATGTCCTTGTGACCTATATGTGACCTATATAATCCCACTCCTCCTTGGAGAAATAAACGGAGACATCCCCACATTTTACAGGCACCTGTAACAGTTCCATTCCAGTTCAGGGTTATCACAGGTCAAATAATTCTATGAGACACTCACAGCTAGTCAGGAGGGGGAGAGAATTGGTATCAACAGTGAGAACATGGGGACCATAAAGTATCTGTACTCTGAAGGAAGTACAACGTTACAAGAGGACGTCTTGTTTACGACAACATATTCCTGCACAACAACAAGGAGGCATGTAAGATTTAAACATTAAAGTCACCGTAATGAGTAAAATCACATATTTTGGTTAGAGCATTCCAGAGTGGTACTGCCCTTAAAAAGTAAATAAGTGTTACAGGCAGAGCAACATGGTTGAGCAAGAATGCATTTGTGAATTGGAGAAGAAATGCACTCCGCGGAGAACCTTGTAGGTTACAGTCAATATTCTATTTATTTATACATTTTATGCCAGAGGGAAACAAAAGACAAGCAGTGGGTAGGGAAGGGAAGCTTACTTGCAGTATTTCATTATAGGTTTGTTAATTGTATCTCACCCGGTGACTGCTCTTTAAAGCCACAGTGACATATTTCTTACCTCTCCAGTTAGTAGGCAACAGATTCCAGGTCTTGGTGTCACTGTGATGTATACACGTACAAAGGTGTATGTAAAGGAATCCGGGATATCTAGAGAAATTCCTTCTAGAGTTCCACACATGTGTCTTCAGGGGTTAATGGAATTTACCTAGTATGTCTTGTATAAAAAACATTATCTCTATTGAGGCTGGTAAGAAAATAGAAGCACAAGGTATAGCAAACGTTTAGGAAGTGATTGTGTTGTGCCAAAACCTCAGAAGTGAAAGTTTTGCTTTAAATCATGACATGAGGGTTTCATTGAGATTTGAAAATAGAATAGCAATTTAAAAAATAAATAAATGAATCTTACATTTATTAAAAGGGACACTACGGTCACCTAAACAGCTTGCTTAAGCCGTTTTGTGGATACATCATGCCCCTGCAATCTCACTGCTCAATTCTCTGCCATTTAGGAATTAAATCCCTTTTTTATACAGACCTAGTGATACCTCCCTTCATGTGACTTTCACAGCATTCCTAAACACTTCCTGTAAAGAGTCATCTAATGTTTACACCTTTTTTAAACAGTCTGTTTAATCTAGAATTTATTATCTCCTGCTTGGTTATTAGCCTTCTAGACCCTGGCCGTGCAACCTGATACCATCACAGACAGGGTGAAGGCCTCGGAGGATGACATTTCAGACATCAAGCAGGGATCGTCATCCCTACAGGACTCTGTACTGGCTTTACAAGCCCAGCAACAAGCTCTCTCACTCCACTACATAGCCCTAGATGATAGGACATGACACAATCACCTCAAGCTTAGAGGGATACCTGATACCATCACGCCTGACAAACTCCCTCACTATATGAGGTGACTCGTAGCCTCACTACTGCCACCGAATCATGCTAAGAAATTTATCATACAGGGAGTGCAGAATTATTAGGCAAATGAGTATTTTGACCACATCATCCTCTTTATGCATGTTGTCTTACTCCAAGCTGTATAGGCTCGAAAGCCTACTACCAATTAAGCATATTAGGTGATGTGCATCTCTGTAATGAGAAGGGGTGTGGTCTAATGACATCAACACCCTATATCAGGTGTGCATAATTATTAGGCAACTTCCTTTCCTTTGGCAAAATGGGTCAAAAGAAGGACTTGACAGGCTCAGAAAAGTCAAAAATAGTGAGATATCTTGCAGAGGGATGCAGCACTCTTAAAATTGCAAAGCTTCTGAAGCGTGATCATCGAACAATCAAGCGTTTCATTCAAAATAGTCAACAGGGTCGCAAGAAGCGTGTGGAAAAACCAAGGCGCAAAATAACTGCCCATGAACTGAGAAAAGTCAAGCGTGCAGCTGCCACGATGCCACTTGCCACCAGTTTGGCCATATTTCAGAGCTGCAACATCACTGGAGTGCCCAAAAGCACAAGGTGTGCAATACTCAGAGACATGGCCAAGGTAAGAAAGGCTGAAAGACGACCACCACTGAACAAGACACACAAGCTGAAACGTCAAGACTGGGCCAAGAAATATCTCAAGACTGATTTTTCTAAGGTTTTATGGACTGATGAAATGAGAGTGAGTCTTGATGGGCCAGATGGATGGGCCCGTGGCTGGATTGGTAAAGGGCAGAGAGCTCCAGTCCGACTCAGACGCCAGCAAGGTGGAGGTGGAGTACTGGTTTGGGCTGGTATCATCAAAGATGAGCTTGTGGAGCCTTTTCGGGTTGAGGATGGAGTCAAGCTCAACTCCCAGTCCTACTGCCAGTTCCTGGAAGACACCTTCTTCAAGCAGTGGTACAGGAAGAAGTCTGCATCCTTCAAGAAAAACATGATTTTCATGCAGGACAATGCTCCATCACACGCGTCCAAGTACTCCACAGCGTGGCTGGCAAGAAAGGGTATAAAAGAAGAAAATCTAATGACATGGCCTCCTTGTTCACCTGATCTGAACCCCATTGAGAACCTGTGGTCCATCATCAAATGTGAGATTTACAAGGAGGGAAAACAGTACACCTCTCTGAACAGTGTCTGGGAGGCTGTGGTTGCTGCTGCACGCAATGTTGATGGTGAACAGATCAAAACACTGACAGAATCCATGGATGGCAGGCTTTTGAGTGTCCTTGCAAAGAAAGGTGGCTATATTGGTCACTGATTTGTTTTTGTTTTGTTTTTGAATGTCAGAAATGTATATTTGTGAATTGAGATGTTATATTGGTTTCACTGGTAATAATAAATAATTGAAATGGGTATATATTTGTTTTTTGTTAAGTTGCCTAATAATTATGCACAGTAATAGTCACCTGCACACACAGATATCCCCCTAACATAGCTAAAACTAAAAACAAACTAAAAACTACTTCCAAAAATATTCAGCTTTGATATTAATGAGTTTTTTGGGTTCATTGAGAACATGGTTGTTGTTCAATAATAAAATTAATCCTCAAAAATACAACTTGCCTAATAATTCTGCACTCCCTGTAGATGGGATCTACCGTCTACCATCATAGGGCAGAGCAGCCTCCACTATGGTACGAGATGTGATCGTATGTTGCTCCACCTCACAGGACAAAAGACTCCTGATGACAGTACTCCGAGGCAAGAAGCCACTGACTTTTGAAGGAGCAAGTCTCTCTATCTACCAGGACCTCACCAGAACCACGCTACAATGGTGAAGATCCCTGAATCCCGTCACCAGGCACATCCTCTGACTGTTTGACTCCGCAACCAGAAACCTGACTACATTGAGAGCCAATATACACATTTGCAGCCCGAACATTCATATATTGTTTAGATAACGTTTTATTTAAAACCAGTTTAATTGTTTCCCTACGTTAGAGAGCCTACTTGCCCGCAACTGTATGCTCATGCACCCAAAATCTTGGGGCTTATGGTAAGGATTGTTATACCACTCCACTGACAGCCCTCACCATCCCCTAATGATGCCACCTTGGTTTGGGGCACATTTGGAAGAAGGCCACATTATAAAAACCCACTCAGGTTACATTTATTATCTCCTGCTCCACACGGCCATTCTCCCTAAGCACTTCACGCACTCCAGTTAACGTACCAATGTTGGATTGTAACACGTGATAAATGCCTAGCTACTGACATGTAAAACACCTTCTTAAGCGTATGTGACTACCTTTTACTTTACTCGATTTCTGTAACATATCCTGCATTGATGGGATAAAAACAAAAATTTCAATAAAAAGAGATAAGCAAAAACTTCCAAAGCAAGTTAACATCTGATTGAAAATGGAATGTACATGATGGCTGTGTGAGTCACAGGCAAGGGTGGTGTGACTAGGGCTGCATAAGCAGAAACAAAAGTTATTTAACTTCTAAATGGAAAATTATCTGAAATCGGTCCATTGATACGTTGGTGGTTTGTGCCCAGAATTCCAATTGCTAAATTTAGGCTACAAATAGCAGAGTATAAGAATGTTTCCTGATCAGATGTTTATTTGTTACAATTTGGAGTTTAGTGAATAACCCTCTTGGAGTTTATTCCCAAAAGAGAAAACTGTAGTGAATTGAAAACCAAATGACAATTTTATTTGGCAAAAAAATAACAAATTTGGAAATCTCACAGCTGACCACAGTTTGCTGTTTAGTAAATAAGCCGCCCTTGGATGTATTTCTCAGGAAGGTGGTAACTAGGGGCTGGCTCTTTAGAAATGCCAGTAATAAAACATAAAATAAACTACAACTCCCACAATTCCAAACCAAGACCATCACCTGATCTAGAGTAAGTGCCATGGAAACAATTACTCTAAACATGCCAGTTTTCTGTATGTTTTAGAAATTAGCTCAGGACAGTGAGTCCCATGAGCATTCTGAGAGTTGCAGTCCACAGCCATTGTTATAGGAGTTGTAGTCCATAGCAGCTGGCTAAGTGTGAGCTGCTACCCAGGCTCTCTCTGTCATGGCTGCCCATCACTGGGCTGTATATACAGCTACTCACCAGGTCTCAGTGAGCTGCTCTAGGCATCACTCTCTGCCTGTACATCCAGAGGCTGCTACCAGGACAAATCCCCTGAAAGGCTGTCAGGCAACATTGTCTCAGTCTGCATCCCTTGCTGTGCCTGGCTCCTCCCATTGCCATGTGTTTACCTTACAAGGCATGCTGGGAGCTGTGGTCCAGCCAAGGTTCAATGTTGCAGTCCCTGGAGCAGTTAGAACCACAATTCCCAGAATTCCTGGGGGATGAGTGCATGGTGACTATTGTGTCTTGCCCAGCATTTAACCTCACTTCCTGCCGAAAGCAACTTGCAGTTTAAAGGTATTGTTTCAGGCTGTTACTCTTCATATGAGATATGGGCTGCTAATCACAGGGTCTGTGTTAAAACCAAGTATTGCATTGTGTGTGAACCTAGCACTAACTCTGTAGGGATGGCTGGATTTTATTAGATAGAATTCTGATAATTATAAATGTTTCTTCCCAGTAATTAGGATTCACAAAAATGATAGGGAGAGGGTAGTGTGCAGCTCTGATCCCAAACTAGAGCAGACTATTAGGAAATAAATGTTACTGATATAAATAATCTGATTTGCTTACTTCCCTGGACTTCTGTACATCTGATGCTTTGTTGAGGCTTATAATATATATTTATATAAAAACTCACACTTCTAGCCCCTCTCTGACTTTTTTTCTCCCACTTTTCCTTTTGTAGATTGCACCAATTTAGAATGAAGGGGATGGGGTATGAAAAGAAAAAGATGGCAGAACGGATACTGAATCATGCCCTGGGTATTATCTACCTGCTGACTGGAGAGGTGAGATCCGAGTCATACTGTTACAGTATCTCTTCAGACCATAACTGACCACATCATCATATGTTGAGATGGTTGGGCAAGTGTCTTAAAGGGACACTATAGCCACTTAAACAACTTTAGCTTAACAAATCAGTTTTTGTGTATAAATCATGCCCCTGCAGTCTCGTTGTTCAATTCTCTTCCATTTAGTAGTTCAATCACTTTTGTTTCTCTTTATGCAGCCCTAGTCACACCTCCCCTGGCTATGATGACTGATACAGCCTGCGTGAAAAATAAACTGGTTTCATTTTCTGTCAGATGTTAACTTACTTTAGAACTGCATACCTCCTGATGTATACATTGGACTTTAATCACACACTGGAGGATCCTGCAGGGTATTAACAGTGCGGGAGATAATAAATTATAAAATAAACTAAATTTGCAATAAAGAAAGTGTAAACATTAGATGACTCTTTACAGGATGTGTGCATGAAGATTGTGTAAGTCACATGCTGGTAACTGACTAGGGCTGCATAAACAAACTAAAATAATTCCTAAATGGCAGAGAATTGAGCAGTGAAACTGCATGGTATGATCTATACACTAAAACTGCTTCATTAAAGGACCACTCTAGGCACCCAGACCACTTCAGCTTAATGAAGTGGTCTGGGTGCCAGGTCCAGCTAGGGTTAACCCATTTTTTAATAAACATAGCAGCTTCAGAGAAACTGCTATGTTTATGAATGGGTTAAGCCTTCCCCCTAATCCTCTAGTGGCTGTCTCATTGACAGCCACTAGAGGCGCTTGCGTGCTTCTCACTGTGATTTTCACAGTGAGAGCACGCCAGCGTCCATAGGAAAGCATTATGAATGCTTTCCTATGCGACCGGCTGAATGCGCGCACAGCTCTTGCCGTGCGTGCGCATTCAGCCGCATGGGAGGAGAAGAGGAGGATCGGAGGAGGAGAGTTCCCCGCCCAGCGCTGGAAAAAGGTAAGATTTAACCCCTTTCCCCCTTCCAGAGCCGGGCGGGAGTGGGACCCTGAGGGTGGGGGCACCCTCAGGGCATTATAGTGCCAGGAAAACGAGTTTGTTTTCCTGGCACTATAGTGGTCCTTTAAGCTAGAGTTGTTTAGATGACTATAATGTTCCTTTAAGAGTAAT